GAAGTCAGGGTTTTGACGGCATCTTTTGTGTTGATCCCACTCGGCCCTTCTTCTCCATCCTCTGTTCTTTGCTTTGAGCACGTTATACATGTCAACATCTTTTTTTTTAAAATTTTAATTATTATATTTTCTCCTTTTTCCCCAATTTAATTTTCTTATGGCCTGCATATAATGAATAAAAAAAATTATGATAATTAATCATGATTGAACATTGAGGAAAAAATGTACAAATTTTATGGGGCATGGCCCCTGCTTTAAGCCTTTAATGTAAATCAACAGAAAAAAGAAGAATAAGGAATTAATTATTTATGGACAGAGATTTTGCAATTTCTTTTGCAGATAACAATAATCATTTCTTTTACTTTTTTGTTTCTGTAATTAATTCAAAGCCCAACATTAGTACTTATGCATATTTATTATTATTATTATTATGGAGAAAATAAAACTTTGAAGAAAATGGAGAAAAAATATGGTTGACAAGGAAATCAGAAATTGGTGTCGAATGAATGCAGAGTTTGTCGAGTTTTGAAAGTGGCTGGTCAAATGTCAATGCATGTAACTTGCCACAAAACAAATCGAATAATATTTATTACTATTTATTAACATTTTTTTATTATTGTTAAAAGAAAATCTGTACTGTGATAGTGACTTGCCCATGAGCCATTAGCCTAAAATTCTCTAGCTCTGTTATTATTTTTGTCTTCCCTATTGATGGAATTTAAAATTTAGAGTGTGATTGAATATAGATTATTTTTGAAAAAAATATTTGAATTGAAAAGATGAGTTAAGATGTGAAAAAAAAAAAATTTGATGAACGAACAAATTATTTTTAAGATTGGGAATGAATGTTAGATAAAATATAATGATTAAAGTTGGTGTGATTAAAAAATAGTAAAATAAAAAAATATATAACTGATATTTAAAAATATATAATAATGATTGATTTTTGTTATGCAACCGTATTAACTATGCGAACCCAACAATTATAAGATTGGACAGAGAAAAAATGGAATGAGAAATTTTTTGAAAAAATAAGAAATTGTAACCAATTGATATTCCAACAAATAATTATCCAGAGACAGAAAATAAAAAATATAGTGCTCCATTGGTAATGAATGTCAGCCAAACAAAATGAACATAAAACTATTAAGTAAAATATAATAATTGTTTTAATAACTAATCAATATTATCTAAACAAAAATGTAATTTTTTTTACCTCAATCATGTAATTATGAGACAGCCCTTTTGAAACAACTGCACAAATTGTAGAAATTTCTGGAATTTTCTCGCTTCGAAGCTTGGAGGCAGAGATTCACCGGAGAAGATAATATTATCCGGCGACACATATAACGCTGGCGATCGGTCAATTTCTCACCTCTGTATTCTTATTTCTATTTTTTTTTTGGTGGTGTTTATAAATAATATAAATTAAATAATAGTAAGTGTAAGGATGTGTAGAGAGAGAGAGAAAAACAAGTCGAGGTTTTTTGGTGTGTATATTTATAGAAGGGTGTAACGGCGTTAACTAACGGAATCATGTCGTGAACTGTGTACCTTGCGCTTGTAAGGATTGTACTCTTTATTGCAAAAAGAATTTTATGTTCGATTTGAGGTAGACAAAGAAGGCCCCAGCTACCTAAATTATGCTCTGTGTTGCAAAGTGTTTTATGAGGTGATGTGACGTGTCGTGATATCATTGGCTGATTAAGTGGGTTCAAATGATTAACATCGGTTAATTTTCCATTTATATATTTAATTAATAAAATTTATTTGTAAAATGAGTGTGTCAGTCCAATGGTTATGTAGTCTAAGGGTAAAACTATTTTTTTAAGAGATGTTATTCTTCTTTATTATATAAAAACAAAGTTGGAAATTTGAAAATTTCGACTTTATTGATGTGTGCACTGTTCATATCGAAAATTTAAGGGGTGATTGTTTATGAAATAATTTGTTCAAAATAAATTATTTTTGTTAACTATAGTTAATTTTGAAAAAGGTGGTATGATTAGTTGTTAGTAGAATTTTAAGAATGTATTCTAATAATATTTAAAATAAAATAATTAAAATTGATTATAATAAATTTGTTTGACCACTCCAATTTTCTATATTTTAGATTATTGACATTGACTAAACTAAAATTGGGATAAAATATTGGATATTAGTGTAAATTTTGAAAGAAAAAAAAAAAAGATAAAAACCACATCCCTTTAGGCTGTGTTTTGGTAGCTTATAGCTTATTTGGTTAGTTTATAAGCTCCTTGTATTTAAATAAGTCTCGTTTGGTGGGACGAGCTTTTTTAAAAAGCTCGAGCTTATTTGAAAAGCTTCTTTAGGTAGCTTTTCAAATAAGCTAGTTGAATTTTTTTTATTTCAGCTAGCTTATCAGCTAATTTTACCAAATATTTTTATCATATAAGCTAGCTTTTCAGCTATAAGTCATAAGTTATAAGTTATAAGCTCAAAAATTACTGATAAGCTATAAGCTAGCTTATCAGCTAGTTTTACCAAACATAGCCTTAGTCATAACATAGTCATTTTAGGGTTTTCCTTGTTTCAACTAAACAACATAATGACAATGAAATATGTGGAAAATGAGTGATGCCAAACTTATAACTGTCAGCCAAGAATAGCCAAAACAAATTGTTAAAAGCGTTTTAGTAAAATATTAGTGAAATATGCAAAAGTATATGTTAAATAATAATTTAATTGAATAATGTCTCCACTATTCAGCACGTGTCCACATTTTTTATCATTTCTTTTGATAAATTGCTCTTATTTAATTTAAAAACTACAAGTAGACTTTTAAACAACCTACTATAATGTGAAAAAACATCTACTTGCATGCAACTGCTTTTATAATTCTGCATAATCCCATTGTAAAATATTTCTTAATGGATGTACCACTAACTATAAATAAAATGCAAGATTCTTCATGTTTAAGCAATTGCAGAATAACGTACCTCAATGATCTTGGGAATTACTTAGCAACAAATTAAACGTTAATTGGGATTAATTTTTAAAGTTTAAGAGAGAAAAATATGTTCTTTTGTATCTTTTTGAGCTCCTATTGCATGTCATTTAGCTTTATTCCAAGGTTTAAAGCCCATAGAATATATTTTACAATTGTAAAAATATTTATGAGGTTAATATTTTATCGAATTTTTTCACCATTAATTTTACATGCATACATATATGTGTGTGTTCGTGTGCAAACCAATTGTGAAAATGCTCAATCGAATTTCCATTGAAATTCATAGTGGCCAATAATGTGAAACACTGTACACAAACCCAAAACATTTGAGTTATACTTTAGTTACGTACATCGTGGGGCCACGATGCTGTCTTGACTAGATCAAGAATAAGCCTTTAATTCAAACTTGATTGGCTAATTAGTTGTAATTGTTACATACATTTTAATTAAATTCAACAATTACACAAGGATTATTGCACTTGATTATTATTATTATTATTTTTTGTATAGTAACTTGTCTGATGTAATTTTAGTTAAATTTTATATTTTTGTTTTTTGATGCGATTGACCATATATAAGTAACATGTATGGTGTAGCTAGACTATATATATACCTAAAATCTCAAACAGTTTGATCATCTAAACACAACTCACGATTTTCTTTGGTTTAATATTAATGCATATGTATATATAGAAGTTCAAATGAACATTACAAGCCATTTTTCTAGGAGAACCTTAGAAAATAACAATTTGTGTTTCTTGATAATTTGGTCTTTTACTCTTTTTATAGTTAAAGTCCAGTTTCTATAACCAACCCAAATATATTCAGTTACTATTCACACTTTCTGCATACCCATTTTTCCTCCTTATAACTGTACACTATATCACCTTTAAAGCTACAAACAAAGAGACCCACAAAATCTATAATAAATTATGGCTCAAAGATTATAGAAATAAAAGAAAAATAAAAAATAAAAGTGCCAATATTATGCTTTGTTCCAACGTTTGGAATGTTCTTTCTTGCAAGCAATTAAATACTACTGTCTTAATAAAG